TTAAGTGTTCATCTTGGGCCTTAACTGTCATCCCAGCTCACTTTGCCTTGTGGTAAGGATTCTAATTTTCAATCATCAAGTTTCAGGTTCGATGCTTGGAGGGAGCGATTAAATTGCGATTTTCAGAACCATTGGATTTCGCGCTTGGAGGCAATGATTAAGCAATGAGCTTCAATGCAACACGCTTCGAGCATACAGAAAATAATACCCATGTTGGTCGGCTTGCGAACCCCCTTGAGCTCCGGCTTAGGGTGGGGTACTTACTTGGTTGATGAGTCTGGGTACACCGGGTCATGGCTGTATATGAAATACTGACCATGCTGGGGTGGGGTTAAGTGTTCATCTTCGGCCTCAACTTTCATCCCAGCTCACTTTGCCTTGTGGTAAGCATTCTGATTTTCAATCAGCAGGTTGCAGGTTCGATGCCTGGAGGGAACGATTGAATTGCGATTTTCAGAACCATTGGATTTCGCGCTTGGAGGTAACCGATTAAGCAATGAGCTTCAATGCAGCATGCTTCGAGCATACGGAAAATAATACCCGTGTTGGTCGGCATGCGAACCCCCTTGAACTCTGGCTTAGGGTGGGGTACTTACTTGGTTGATGTGACTGGGTACACCGGGTCGTAGCTGTATGTGATGTACTAACCATGCCGGGGTGGGGTTAAATGCTCATCTTGGGCCTTAACTTACATCCCAACTCACTTTGCCTTGTTGTAGGCATTCTGATTTTCAATCAGCAGGTTGTAGGTTCGATGCCTGGAGGGAGCGATTGAATTGCGATTTTCAGAACCATTGGATTTCACGCTTAGAGACAATGATTAAGCAATGAGCTTCAATGCAGCATGCTTCGAGCATACGGGAAATAATACCCGTGCTGGTCGGCATGCGAACCCCCTTGAGCTCGCTTAGGGTGGGGTACTTACTTGGTTGATGTGATTGGGTACACCGGGTCATGACTGTATGTAATGTACTGACCATGCTGGGGTGGGGTTAAGTGTTCATCTTGGGCCTTAACTTTCATCCCAACTCACTTTGCCTTGTGGTAAGCCTTCTGATTTTCAATCAGCAAGTTGCAGGTTCGATGCCTGGAGGGAGCGATTGAATTGCGATTTTCAGAAGCATTGGATTTCGCGCTTAGAGGCAATGATTAAGCAATGAGCTTCAATGCAGCATGCTTCGAGTATACGGATAATACCCGTGTTGGTCGGCATGCAAACCCCCTTGAGCTCCGGCTTAGGGTGGGGTACTTACTTGGTTGATGTGACTGGGTACACCGGGTCATGAATGTATGTGATGAACTGACCATGCTGGGGTGGGGTTAAATGCTCATCTTGGGCCTTAACTTACATCCCAACTCACTTTGCCTTGTGGTAAGCATTCTGATTTTCAATCAGCAGGTTGCAGGTTCGATGCCTGGAGGGAGCGATTGAATTGCGATTTTCAGAACCATTGGGTTTCACGCTAGGAGACAATGATTAAGCAATGAGCTCCTCCTTTCTTTTTTTTCTTTTCTTCACCTTTTCCTTTTTCCTTCCTCTTCCTCCTCGTCATCTTCTCTTTTTTTTTCCCTTCTTCTTCTTCTTCTTCTTCCCCTCCTCCTCCTCCCCATCGTTCATCCTTCATTTTCATTCCCACCAGTCCATTTAAGGGATGCTACCTTCTTCACCCGAATACAACATACAGTCATTATAGCTGTATGTGAGGTATCTTTCCATCTAAACACAACAATAATCACCATACGTTGTATTCGTGCAAAGAAGGTATGGTTTCCATATCTTTTTCACCTTCTTGTTGTTGTTGTTGTTGTTGTTGTTGTTCTTCTTCTTCTTCTTCTTCTTCTTCTTCTTCTTCTTCATTTTCTTCATTTTCTTCTTCTTCTTTGCAATGACCCACATAACCTGCTGAAGGCACATGTGAAGGCACATGTGAAGGCACATGTGAACCCGCTCGAAAATGATGGCTAAGTGTGTGTGAGCATGCTTTGTTGTTGAAATTGAAATTGTAATTGTTGTAACGGCTGTAGTAATGTTGAAGTGGGTACGAGGAACAAAATTTGGGAGTGTGTAGGGGAAGAGTTACTGGAGCGTGTACGTGAGATGGACCTTTCATCTGGAGACATGAGTTATAGTGAGAATTGTTAGGAGGAACATGAGCAATCACTCGGGTTATTAAGCCTGTAACGGGATCTGTGCAGATTCTTTGGGTGAAGTAACTGGGTTGACGATGTCGGGTTCAGGCTACCGCGAGTACGAAAAGGAGGATTATAGAGGGAGATATGGTGAACGTGGCCGCGACGGGGGGTACGAGGGAGGACGTGACCCTCGGGACTCCCGACGCGAGAGATCGATGGAACCAGGCGGTGCTAGCCATCAGGAACGCCACAGGGAGCCTCCTCGACGTGTTCCTCCGGTATGCTTTGAATGCGGTGAACCCGAACACTACCGAAATCAGTGTCCCAGATTGGTCGGCGACAGCAGCAGGTCACGAGGTAGGTCAACGTCCCCGAGACATCAAGGACCACAACAAGTACCGCGTGCACTATCGGAAGATCCGGCTTTACGCCGTCAGGTGGAGGATATGGCGAGTATGCTGGCCTCGATGAAGGAGTACCACGAGGCTGAACAAGCAAAGAAGGAAGCAAGAGCGAAGCGGAAGCTGGAGAAGCAAGAGCAGAAAAGACGGGAGGAAGAGGAACGTGCTGCAACAGAGGAAAAACAACTAGTTAAACAACGTCGTGCTATGAGGAAGGAGGAAAAAATGCGTAAGGAAGCGGAGCAAAGGGAAAAGATGGCGAAGGAACTCAAGAAACAGATTTCCATCTCCTTGGGGGACTTACGAGAAGAGCTACAGCACAGGATCGATCGGGCGGCGGTGGAGAAAGTTAAGGGAAAGAAGAAGATCGAGGTGCACTCGTCGGATGAAGGCAGTTATGAATCGCACGATAGCGACGTCGACACTTTGAGTAGTAAAATGGAGCAGTTGGTTATTTCGGAGAAACGCAAACGAAGTGTTGAGAAACCTGTGGGAGACAGCCCGCCCATGGTGACTGCAGCCAAGCGAATAGCGAAGAGATGATTGCACCTTAGTTGCAGACACCCACCGATGAAGCGCTCGCCGCAACGGAAGACCCCGCAGAGGACTACCGCGATGAAGATTACCAACAACTCCAGGTTGAGTGGGTAAATTGAGATTCGTCACCGATAACTTGCGCAAACTGGGGGATTTGACGATTGAAGAACTGAAACGTATATGCCTTGCGGAGGACGTTCAATACGAAGGCAAGAAAATGCAGGTGATTCTTGCCATCACGGATAAGCGAACACAATCTGCGTACGGTTCGAACGACGAGGATGAGGCTAATGCTCCTGAGGAGAAAGGAGAGGAGCAAGGTGAAGAAGCGAAGTTGGAAGATGACGAAGATGATAAGGATGTGTGAAGTACTGGGAGACTTTGGGTGCTGTGCCACTGTCTCGTGGAATTTAGGAGAGAGGATATCCATGATGCTGTCGTTGAGAAACTTTTCCGTTGGGTAGTCATTACCTTGGCACTACTAAATCAAGTTCGATGGTTACTGAAGTGTACGGTATCTTGGGTAGAGTTGTACAGGAAGTACGGTATCAAACCCTTTGTTGAGGATAAGAGCTGCGTCTACATAATTACTTCGCCTACCTATCGGGCCCAATATGTGGGACATACGAGAAGAGGGAGCAAGGTACGATGGAGGGAGCATGTATCGGTCAACAATAGAGGATTGAAACAGAATCACTTATACAGGTGGTGGAGGTCGTACGACCTCGGATCTTACCTCCTGCTACCTATCGCGCTCTGTCCTGACGAAGATTTGCCGCTGTTGGAGCAGGCTTTTATCCGTCGATGGAGTCCAGTGCTTAATACAATAGGGAAGACGACGTGTAAGAAGAGGGGAAAGCGCAGAGGCAGGAAGGGCAAGCATGAGAGGGAACGACTCCGGAATTGTGATACCTTGCCGGTGGAGCCTCAGGCAATTTGTCCCGTAAGAGTCCGTTTGTGCGACACCGATGAGTGGAGAGCCAGCGTCTTCCAAGTGCTTGCTGATCAAGAAAAGGTTGAACATCGGAGCTTCGATGTGCAGTCGAATAAGGGGAACTGTTGGTGTGGAAGTTGGAGATCTATACGTACGACGTTCGGCAATACCGAGATTTCGATAAATGGGCGAAGATTGAAATTAAGGGAATGCAAGGCGATCTTGGAAGGAGGGGCACGTGTTAGGATTTGTCATCTGCGCAGATGGAAGCCAAAACTCAGAGCGGACAAAAAGTTTCTCAAATCGATCCTCCGTAACCCTCACAGAGTGGAGGTGCTACGACACTGTAGTATGGATGCTTTGGTGCGACTAAACGGGGTCGCCAAGGATTTTCAGCGAGCGTCGACGACAGCCTACTTAAAAAGATTGATTGCTAGAAGTGCGAAAGGGGCATATGGATGGAGCATCAATGCGAGCATTACTGTTCGTATGAAGTTTGATGATAGGATCAAGGTGGCTGAGGTAAGGAAAGTATTGAATGATAGGATTGAGGAGATGGATGTACCGGCTTGTATGAAGAATGTTGCACAAAATGGTGTCCGCATTGTGTGGGTAAAAAACCCATTTGTTGCGGATATTTTGCACAATCAGCGGGATTTTGCCCAAGCTGACGTGCTGACATGTAATTGTGCAGGTTTTCCCTACCCTCGGGTAGGTGGTCACGTGTCCGTTCGACTACAAGATTTGGAAGGCATTCACCCTCTCTTGTGTAATGCGAACAATGTGCCCAGACACTCCCACCCTGATCGGGGAAAGCTATTGGCAAAGGAACTAGTTGATGGTTTGCAATCTTGGGCTAATTTTCATGGACAGACACCTAGGATCAGCGAATGGGAGATTGGCAGATGCATGACAGCGCGTCCTGTGGAATCAAAATTTCTGAAGATGGATGAGGTACGGTCCCTGAAACACAGTTTGCAGGGTTTAGTACTGACGCCGTTAGATAGAAACCCTGGGGAAACCCTAGTACTCTGTCAAAAGGTGTACTATGATGCTATGATGGAACTGTTTGTTGGCAGTACTGGCTATGTTGTGATTGAGTCACAAAAAGAGGAAGTTCAGGTCAGAATGAAGTCTGACGCCAAAGATGCTGGTCTACTCGGATTCTTAAAATGCGATAAGAACGGTAAGATAGGGGAGGCATACGTGATGCCCAAGCACAAGGACTTGTCGCGTTATCGCCCGATATGTCCAACATTTTCGAAACCGACAGTTAGGACATGCAGAGCTGTCGCAAAAGCCTTGAACCACTTATTGGATAATCTTCCAGTTGCATGGCATTTTAATTTGAAATCGGTGGCCTCTTTGGTGCTCCGTTTGGAGATGATTAATAAGAAGATCGGTCGTAGGCTTAACACTGGCTCTGGTTTGTCTATGATGTCATATGACATCAAAGATATGTTCAGCAAACTACCTCACTAGGATATCCTCGAGGCAGTTGACTGGATCATTGAGTATCACATTGGTAAGGGGCGTGACTCTGTTCGAGTCAACACGCGTGGTAGAGGGAGCACTTTTGGTCGTACCACTGGAGATGATCATTGGCGGCTGATAGATTTGCGGCAAATCAAGTTGTTTGTACGCTATGAGCTCACACATACCTACACACGAGCAACTGGAGTGTTTCTGAGGCAAGTGGTCGGAATCCCGATGGGAAAGAGTACAAGTCCACCACTTGCCTGCATTATGTGTGCCTTTGCCGAATATCAATTTTTGCGCGATTTAGGCCACGCAAGGGAGGACGTGTTCGGTCTGAGACTGATGGACGATGTTAGCGTGGTGGTGGTAAACCGTAAGCGTGGTAAGTTGTCTGTAGCGAAAATAATGTCTAAATTTGAGCAGTGCTATCCACCGAATCTGCAGCTGAAACGTACAGACAAAGGTACGGGATCGTGTGATTTTATGGGAACAAGGATGAATGTCAGCGCGATACCTCCCTACGTTGGATGTTTTCAACTTGCAAAAAATGAGAGATCCATGTGGGATGATGGCCATTTGGAATTTAAGAACCGGCAATCCTTCCGGTCGTGGGGATGCAAGCACCAGAAGAGTGCAGTAATTGCCAGCCATCTGCACAGAATTGATAGGAACTCCAATATGCGAGCTGAGATACCTGGACGGGTCCTGAGTCTGACGCGAGAACTGCGTATGAAGGACTTTCCCGCTCCTTTCATTGAACGGGTTATACGTCGCTATGCGAAAGGACGTGACTCTATTTGGACAACTACGGCTAATTGGTTGTACGCAACCTGAGCATAGTACAAAAAGTGATTTGGGATCTGGAGACAAGATGTTGATCGAGGGTCTGCAGCTATTCCAATTGTTTTTTTGTTTCATTTGTCGGTTGCCACGTGATAGTTTTTTCAGTAATGATACATCTATTTTGAATGTTTTCAGTTTTTTGACAGACCATTAGTGTATAATCATCAGTAGACATAGGGACGTATGTCTGTGGTTGTTTTGGCATATGTGAACAATCTATTCTTCTTCTATCGGGAATGTAGGGACAGGGCTGCAGTCTGTAGAACGAAGGACCGTAGAAGTATAAGGGGGTTTCGTAACCCTGTTGCTTTTTTGGGTCTTTTTTGTTTTTTTGTTTTTTGTTTTTTTGTTTTCTGTTTTGAAGATGGTACCGACCTTTGATGAGGCTTGATATTCGTCAGTAGTTGTAGTAGTTTTGAGTCTGTGTATTTGAGCCCTAGAGGTACTGGTCGTCGTTTTGGTCAGGTTTTGCCGTCGCTCAGTGCGTTTCGAGCTTGGGTCTGCGAATTGGGAACCCGACCTTTGATCGAGTACTGTTTGGTTTTACTTGGTCTCGTAGTCAGAGCGACCGAAGCGGCGTAATAATGGGAACTATAATAGCGACGATTGCTGTAGACTAGGTCTTTCCGGCTACGACACTGTTAGGCATGCAGCATTTCCGGAGATGTTCGCGTGTCGTCGGCGGAGTTGGGTATATGTGGAACGAAGGACGTGGATGTGGGCTAGGGACATGGTTAGGTGGTTCTCCCCCTGATGAGGACCGCGTGGCGGCGGTCGAAACTGGTCGGGGTGCCATAACCCGCCGGCAGCAATCTGTGTACATGTTTTACCGTGTACCTTGAATACATGTGTGTTATTGTTGTGTGTTTGCACATGAGTGTACCGCACTATAATGATGTATGTGTATGTCAACTTTGCCAGTATAACCACATAAACCACTGTTTGCGATTCCTGCAATTTCTAAAGAAATGTTATCCGTTTGGTTTGCCTTATGAGAATTCCAAATCGCAGTCTGTTCTGCGGTTAATTGCAGTGTTTTCTACATGTGTGCAGCCTACCACTAACGTGTATAACTGACATTTGGTTAAAAGTTAAAACTGACATTTTTTTCTAAATTCACGAAATTGAGCATAATTAGAAAACAATATTTTTTAGCATTATTTTGTCCCCATGACAGTAGACCTTTTTTTTTTTTTTTTTTTTTTTTTTTTTTTTTTTTTTTTTAATGGTCGGGCGTTATGACGAAGCCCGCTGATTGGACCCTCGGATGTATTTTTTGACGGTACTTTACGTTGAGATACATCAGATGGTCAAAAAGTGAGATAACCACTTTCTCACCCAATGAGAAAATGTAATTTTGACTAAGTCCACTTTCATGAATTTAGAAAAAAATGTCAGTTTAACGAAATGTTAGTTGCATGTGCCTTGAACCTAGACAATTTCCCGCCTACATTCAGGCCCTGGACATGTGCTTGCCTGAGTCGAAGTCTGGATCTGTGTGCTAATTTTGTTGATCGTGTGTCTGTGGTTGTTGCTTGGACATGGAGACAGCCAGGCATAGGACTGAAAGTGAGCGGTAGGATAGGCTGCGCCCAGGGACTAGAATGGAATTGGCTAGGGACCTGGTAGGGATTTTCCAGGAAATTTGGTATGGCCAGGAAGGGCTGGTAGCGCCCCTGCAGGTAATGATTTTCCAGGAAATTTGGTATGGCCAGGAAGTAGTCTAGGTTCAAGGTCTGTAGGTAGGTTTTATGCTGCAGTGATGTTCAGGGAACACCAGGAAGGCAGAGTGTGCGACCAAGTG